ACCTGTAACTAGACTATGGAAACGCACACAAATCAGGACAAAAATATTTTTTGAAATAAAATTAAAATATATTATAGTAGATATTTGACTTTTAGTATATGAATTGCTTTTTTTCTGGTTCCAAGATAAGTCCCTCCCCATCCCCAAAGGAGTACTTCCAGAGGCAAGGGGAGGGACTTATGGTGGCAAAGATCCAGGGTTAGGAGGCAGGACTTATAGTCCCAAGATAGTGACCAGGGGGTGGGGCACTTGTCAAGGGGTGGGGCTACCATTGTGGCCCTCGACATCTCACCAAAACTCATTAAGCGGCTGTCCAGCAAAAATCATTGCTCACCCCTGGTTTAGAGACTTTGTGTAGTGCAGCAGTAGAGTGCTGAGCAACCCAGACAGTGGCAATAGAGAAGAAATTAGAGCTTTTTTACAGTACTGGCAAGCACCCATTTTCCCCGTCTCTGGCCTTAAGTATGAGTGGAGAAGTGGAATAATTGTTTTGATTCCCCTCTAGAAAGAGAGGGAACATGTAGTCTGTTCCCAAGGCTGTGGCTGCAAAGGAGCATTTCAAGGTAGGAGTGATTCTGTTCGGAGGATGTCTTAAAGAGATTGCTACCTGTTAGAGATTGTTCACCTGCTAATGTTAACAATCCGTGAGCTTGGAGGTAAGTGGCACTGAGGGAGGGAAGTATTTGAGGTGGCAATAGGACCAAAGGGATATACGTGTGAACAGGAAGGACAGAAGGACAGGTCAATGAAATATCAAGGGGCTGAAAAAGAGGTCAGTGATGAACTCCTACTTAAGTATGGTGGAGGTCAAAGAATAAGGAATGGAATAGATCATAATGTTGAAACTAATAGGATCCCGTCATCTAGAATATTGTCTTCAGGCTTGGTCAGCCAGTCAGAATTAGCTTAGATAGAAAGTTAAGGAAGAAATAAAATAATAGATTATATATATATATATATATATAATTTATTTAAATAAAGGGCACATGTAATTCCATGCATTAGCTTACTATGTAGGACTAATGGAGCCATCCAATGAAGCTGAAAGGAAATTCATTTAAGATTTGATATGGGGAAGTATTTTTGCACAAGACATAGCTGACCAGTGAAACTCACTGCCACAAGACAGTGAGACTAAGAGCTTAATAGGGTTTTTAGAAATAAACATTTGCATGCGCACTTAGAACACTGACATCTTATTTCGTTTAATGGGAAGAAAAAATCGGCAAGCCATCTCAACAAGACATTGTTTTGCATCATAACAGCTGTTTGCTGGTGGTATTTGACAGCTGATGAGTGAATTATGAAAGTTTTCCTCCTAGATTTGGATGGGGCTCATTGGTTTAGAAGAATTCATGAAAGGAGACCAATGACTTCAAATTTTATCCCTATTGTCTTGAGACAGATAAATCTGGTAAGGATATTGTTATGTTGGTAGGCGCTGGTAACTGCCAGCACGAGTGCCTTTGATCTCTGGGCTGATCGGCTTGCTAGTTGCCTTTCATTTGGTGTCAGTGCGGGAGCAAGTGTGTGCATGTCACTTGCTTTAGTGATAGCTGAAAAAATAGATGCCTATGCCCAAATCAAACCAGTGTGATAAGGCTGGGGTAGAGCTGAACCACACTGTCTGGGGAATGCTGGGTTTGGAGCGGTGTGTGAGAAACAGAAAACAAAACAGCCAGAGTGAATCAGAAGATAGCATGGCCCTGAGATGGCAAGACAAGACCGCACTGGTAGCATGGCAGTGAGAGAGAGGGGGCACACTCTTTTGGGCACAGTGTAAACTGGAAAGAAAGATTTGGAATGGAATTTGGACTTGGTAATTTCCTTCAGCAAGAAACTGCCTCCTGCTGCTTCTCTCCTATTCATAGAATAGGACTTTTGTGTACATTTTATACATCTATTGGATTATACTAATGCAATAACTACTTCAGATAATCAAGTTCTCCAGGTAATGGGATGAGGGGGTGTGAAATTTAGGACACTGAATATTGTATACTTGCACTAAAAGGGACAAACGTTATATCAACTCTTCCCCTTGAAGGCTTGTTATCCCTCCTTTGCCTTTTGTGATAATGCCTTAAAGTTGAGGAGTCTAGGTAGGGTTGCCAACCCTCCAGGATCACCCTGGAGTCTCCAGGAATTAGATATAAATCTCCAGGACACTTCTGAGAGTCACCTGGAAGACAAATGATAGGGTATTCATTAAAATCAATATGAAATGTTGAATCTGATGTATACAGTAGTCCAGTGAGTTTTTAAAATGTAACAGCAATTTGCATTTGCCTTCCTGACGTAAAGTCTACACATCATAATTAACATCAGTATGCCATGTGATGAATCCTCCCGGAACAGATTCAAACAGAGTTGGCAGCTCTAAGTCTAGGTTTGGGCTTGTCTTGAAGTTGTAAGTAAGTGTCTCATCGTTTAAAGATTTCCTCTAAATTCTCTGCAAAAAGGCAATTCTTCCAGAGCAATTTGCAACGTTAAAGGTCAGTAATTGAAGATTGTGAGCTGAGCAACTGAGTGTCACAGGTCATGTCACAGCATAGTAGGGCTGTGCGAAACACCATCGTTTTGTTTCGATGTCCATTTCACCGTTTTGAAGGGAAAGTGTTTCGTTTCGTTGTTTAGTTTCGAACCGCTGTCCCATTTCATTTCCTTGAAACTGTTTCACTGTTTTGACGCATTTTGATGTTTTGCCCATAGGCTATAATGGGGAATCATGAAAACGCCTAAAACGTTGTCAGTTCTTGCCTGATTTCGATGAAAATTGCAGGGAGGGCTGCCAGGCTGTGCCAGACATGTAGCAGCAGCAATTTTCTCTGGTGCTGGGTGCAGCCCGTGCCCAGCACTGGTCCCAGGTAGCAAAGGCAGCCTCCTCTCATCTGGGGCGCAGATCCGGGGGCTTGCACCCCCGGGAGGGCTGGTGGGCTGTGCTGGATTCCTCTCGGGGGTGTGAGCCCCTGAATCTGCACCCTGGATGAGAGGAGGCCACCTCAGTAAGCTGGGACCGGCGCTGAAGCCAAATAAGCCCGGCTTTGAAACTCAAAACGTTTCAGAACTTTTTAAATGTTTCGAGTGCCCTCGTTTTGTTTTGAAGCTGTTTCAAGCCTTTTGTTTTGTTTTGATTTTGCTTGAAATGCATTGAAACAGCTTCGAAATGAAACGCTCAGTGAAATTTTGCATAGCCCTACAGCACAGCATGCTGTAAGATGACATGAAAACAGTTTTCTGATGGGAACACTAAAATCTCCTGGAGACATTTGAGTATGATTTTGAAAACAAAGCTAAGACAAGCACTGGTAGGACACACCCTGACAACTGAGAAGCTCTCGAGGATCGTATCCATCTCTTAAGGACTGTGATCCTGTTCGAAATGAGTGTCATTGTTTGGCAAGCCATTGTAAAACCAAAAAGTTCACCTTGGAGTTGCAGTCGCATCTTGCGATAGAACGGTATCAGCAATGACGGTGTAGCCATTTGGCACTGGAGTGGCACGGGTGACTTTACCTTATTTAATTTTGGAGAACCTCAGGAACAGGGAGTCGCACATTCTTTTATTTATTAATGTTATGGGTTACAAATAATTTAAAGAACTTGGATTTCTAAAACAGTCTTGCTAGCGAGAGCCAAATGCCCTATATCTAGGCATTGGGATCCTTAATTACCTAAATTGGAAGCACCTTGTAGTTTACATATTATCTTGACTCCTCCCCCACCCCGTACAAATTTTCCCTTCATGTTTTGGAGAGCTGAAACGAAAAGCCAATAGGTAGGTGTGTTTTGGGGCTGTGGGAACTTGTGGGCAAAACTGCAAAGCTAGAGCTGGAAAAGCTTCAGTGCATTTTTCTGGGGTCTTTTGGTAGGCGATTTGGATTTCTTATTTTTTAAACTTCTGGCTAATTAACTGCAGGACGGTGCAGCACAGTACTGTCCCCCACTGAGAGAGGGCCTGTGTGAAAAAAAACCTTTCCTTTTCCACTTTCAGGTGATTGTTGGTTTTGTATGGCATATGCCTGTCAGCTGAAGAGGCGCACTGTATTTGAAAGAAGCTGTGAGCCTTCCTGTGGTGTCCTCCCATAGCGAGTTTTGGCAGGGAGTCAGGAACACAGCACGCGGATACAAACAGCTGCTAGGTGGATTTAGCAGGCTGCCAAGCTAGTAGCAAACTTTGAGCAGTAAGGCTGGGGTTCTGGCAGGGAACTGCCAGCAACTTACACTGTAGCTTTTCTGAGGCCGGTTGTTTCTGATCCAGGGCCAAAAGCACTCGGCTTCTGGAACAAAAGCAAACTAGAACCCATTTATTCAACACAGCTCTCATACTTGCCACTGAAATGGGGTAGAAGCTGGTTCAGCTGGAAACTTGTGTAAGTTCCAAACTCCATCTGTTGCCTGATACAGTTGGAGTGATGGGGGATGACATTTTCTTCACACATTTTTATATTATTTTTTTCATTCCCACTGGCATTCCTCAAAGGACTACAAAAATGGCAGTGTTAACTTTTTTGTTGAGGTGAGATTAATAGGCCTGAACATCTAGGTACTATAAGTATATGGCAAATACTCTGGTTTTATCTCTCTTTCCTGCTGCCAGGGGTGTTCTTCCACTTTCCTGTGATGTAAGGAAGTAGCGCTGAGTACTAAGGTCTTATACTTTCCTAAATACCAATCTTGACTAATATTGATTTTTTTTAAAATCTCAAATCTAAACTGGTTTATGTTATGGCAAACTATAATGATCTGTTTACTGATCTATATTCTTTGTCAGATTTAACTCTGAAGAAGAAATATTTGTATTAACATTAAAAGGATGGTTTTATGTGTGCTACAAGTATTTTAAAATATACCAGGAGAACAAAGATGAGCAGTAAATCTTAATAACTAACACCCCTAAGGAAGCAGGATCAAGGTCAGTTCTCCTAAGTCAGAAATCTGGAAACCATTGCTAGGGAAGTGGCCAGTTTTCATTGTAATCTTATTTATTGCTTACTTTTCAGAAAAAGAACATAGCTGGTATCCACATATCCTATGACTGTTCCATGTGGTAAGAACTTGCAAACAACTTTAAGAGTAAGCAAACCTCTAAGATTATTCTAATCCTTTTAAGATAAAAATTCAAACAGGAAGGTGTGATGTGTCTCCTTTGTAACTGATGCCTTTGTTCTATGTGTATTGCATCTTTAAATTTCCAAGGAATACATATGGTTCAGCTAGTCCATTATCCTGTCTGTCAACTGCTAGTGTCCGACACTTCTGAAGCAGGTAATTGTGGAATATAAGGAAAGTTTCTTCCTACCACAATTGGGCACATTCTGAAAGATTTATAACCGTACATGGCTAAGGATTTTGAAGTTTGAATCTAATTATTACCAGTATAAATGTTTACTCCTGAATGCTATCTCCTAGCAGCGATTTACTTGTATTTAGCATATTCAGGGCTATGTATATATTTCCCTTCCCTCGATTTGATTTAGCATCTCTCTTGTCCTCTCTTGCCAGACCATGATGGTGGTCCCCATTTCTCCGCTTCACTCTGGCATCTACCTCTGTGACTCTTTTCCTAGTCTTATCGTTGAAAAAAATGTCCATGCTGACATGGACTGCTGAGGAAGTGGGGGTGCAATGGTGCAGTCCACCCCTTTGATTCCTGGTCCACCCAAAGTATAAAATCAACTGCCTAGCAGTGGCAGCAGCATTTCTATTCAGGCACCAGTGAGGGAGTCAATTGACTTATGGCTCATTGTAATCTGTGTTCTGATTCTTTCTAAACTGTATTCCACAAAGGTGTCTCCTTTTTTAATGGTCTGGATGCTCCACTAATCAAGCTAACCTTTCTTCTGCAACTCTGCTGTCTGTTAGTGGCTCTCAGTAATTTCGCTCCTATATCATAGCCCTGCAGACCTGTTTTTAGCTCTAGGTAAAAACATGCACTCAGGTATGGAAATAACTTCCAGTAAAGCACTGGATGCACTGTCAAGATGTTCAAGAAGGCTAGATTTTGTTTTTTATGAACCTGAAAAAGATATACGCTTGATTCTAATAACTTCAGGACTAAGGAAACAACATCTTTTGATGATTTTTTGCCTAGTTTGTTGTGTTTTTATAATATATGATGTAGCAAATTAATGCACATTGCAATAACGTTGTATTCGTGTTTGCTGCAATCTTAAACTAAATACAAGGTATTGTTAGAGTTGGTCAGAAACAGTCTAACACACTTTTTGTTCTGGTCAAAATTTGCCAGTTCAGTAAAACCAGAACTTTTTGCAGGGATGGCTCAGTTTCAACCAGTTCCCAGGAGAACCATGCCTGGGGATTGTAAACCTTTGTAGTTTCTTCCAGGTTTACCTGACAAGATCTTCAGGAAGCCACTTGGCAGCTGTGATTGGTAGCCTGAAAAACCCCTGTGGGTCATGGCTCCCAAGCAACCATGCTCACAGCTCTTGGCAGGCTGAGGCTCCTAAGGTTTCCACCAGAACAGCCTTTATGAGGGCCTGCAATCCCTTTTGCAGAGAATGTCAACACCTTGTGTTTGCGTTCTGAATTGCAATGAAACTCAATTTTGAGATATCAAAATCCTTTGCAAAACAACTTTTCTGTCCAGTTTTTAGCATTATTTTTTCTCATTCCAGGTCTTGTCAAAGACTTACTTCTGTTGGAAGATTTGCTTATTTAATTTACATTTAGACAGAACCTGATTTAACCATGGTGTGCTCAGTAATTGTATTGATCACTTGTCCTTCCCCCTTTGTACCCTTTCTGCTGCTTTTATTTTTCTTGTGTTGCTTAAATTGCAGACCCTTTGATGAAGGGTCTCTGTTTTTTGTGTAGGGTAGCTACCATATGTCTAGGAACAATAATTTATTTGCCTACCAGCTTTCATCCCTGAGAAGCTATTAGGGTTATGTAAAGGTTGCGTTTTCTGGTCTGCATGTAGTCTTACAGTCTTGACCTGGGAGCTTTCGGTTCACAACCTTGAGTTTTTCTTGAACACCCCCGCCCACTGTCCTGGTCAGTGAGACTAGCTGATTGACACAGGCTGCGCGCTTTAGGCTACTCCTTGATGGCGGCTCTGACCTGCAAGGCTGCTGTCTTCCTGAGAAGTCTGGCAGGTCTCCAACCCTCTCATGTAATGACACTTTGCTGACAGCAATCTGCCATCTTTTAAAAAGGCAAGAAAAGTGACCCTACCTTGTTACAGTTTTTAGCAATAGTGGGAATGTGCCTTCCATCTCTGCAGTAAATCTTCCCTCTTTGCACTGCACAGCATTCAGACCGTGTAAACACCAAGAAAAGACTTCTGCAAGAAGCCTTTAAGAAGTGGGCAACTTTATCATTCTTAATACTATAAGGGGAGGATACCAGTCATCTCTAGGACATGTAAGGAGGGTGTGTGTGTACCACTTCTGATGTGGATTACACTAAATTTGAACAGCAATGGCATTTTGGGGGGCCCACGCCTCTGGCTTGGATACATTTTTCTTGCCAACTCATTCAAGGGCATAAAGGAATAAGTGGGCTAAATCATCCTTTAGTTTATTCACAATAGCGAATCAAAGTACTAGAACTCTGGAGCATCCACGAAGGAGGACAGACTGTGGAATAGGTACCTCTAACATATTTTTGAAAATCCCAGTTCTATCTCTGAGTCATTGTCCACATATTTACTCATCTGGGTGGTTAGCAAGCAATGATCTTATCATCCGGATGGGTGTTCAGTGTCCACTTCAATAATGGTTGCAAGACAGCTTTGTTAAAGCAGGCACTGCATCCTAATGATGCTTCAGGTAAGGAATAATTCTGGTTGCATTTGTTGACTGAATCCCTGATAGAGATCTTCCATATTTTAGAAATGGAAAAGTTCCCGAGGGAGGCTCCAGAAGCTGCCTGATCTCTAATAGAATGGAGTCTAATTTGTAGAAGTGCATATGAGATATTTTATAGGAGTTTCCACCATACACAGTGTTTGGATGGATATAGGATGACTTTTAACCCTGTCTGAAGTGGTTAGAAACTGTCTGATACCATTTTTCTTAATGGCTTTATTTTGTTCAAATAGTAGAGTAAAGTCTTGCCAATGTCTAGGTTGTGATGTTCAACTTCCTCTGGGCTAGAGTGATGCTTCTGTTAAACTAGAAGGTGGATCACTTGGTTCACTTGAAAGTCACACAGGGCATTTATACACGTACCTTTGTCTGCTCCGATGTGCTGGAAATCCATTGCGTCAGAGAGGACTCAATTAAAGGAGTCTGCGGAGCATGCAAGCTGATGCGCCTGGCACTGCATCGCAGACATTTGTATAAACGGTGAAATGTGCATCAGTGCACAGAAAATGGCGGTGGTGAGCTTTTGAACTAAAACACCTTTGATGTGTTTTTATTCAAAAGTGTGCCACCACCATTTTCTCAACCAGTGTGTACAGTGGCACGTGCATGTGTACAAATACCCAAACAGCCTTAGGCAACATTTTAGAGGTGGAGTCTATTGTGAATGATAGAGGGCATGAATCTCTGCTATTTGAGCTGATTTTTATGTCTTCTAAAAAGGTGGTCTTGTAGACAGATGATATATCGAGCAGATTCTTTTCATGTCCTGCCACCATAATTATAGATTTCTCCAGTGTCAGGCATGTAATATGGCCAAGTGTATTGGCATGGCTAGGTCTTCTGTGGTGCAGACTTCCTTCAGGAGTCGTCAAACCAAGTGCTGTTCAATGGACTGAGTCACTGCAGTGATGAAAAGCCCTGTGTGTTGTCTTTTGACCTGCCGATCATAGTTCAAAGGCTGTTTAAACATGCCCAGATCAAACTATTTGTAGTAAGAGCATTCTTGCTGAGGGACCCTGTCAGACTCTCTGAATTCTCTTGCACTGGTACTGAGTCTGTAGTTGCAAGAGCATCTCAGAGAGGGGGTAACGTGGTGGTTTGGGCTAGAGACAGACATTACACATAAACTGGTTTAAGTGATCAGAAACTGCTTTAAACTTATAACAGAACAGAAGTTCAGTGCACATAAATCAGTTTCAGAATGGTTGAAACTGGTTTGAGATAAACCTGGTTGAATGTAGTATCAGACTAAACTGTTTGAGTTCAAACCGGTTTATGCGATGTCTGTCCCAGACCCTTCCCGGTTTAAGTTAAACCAGAGTCCCCCAGCATCCCGGCATGCTCTCTGGGCTGGGCTCTCTGCTCCAGCAGAGCAGGGCTGGCCCCTCCCCTCTGCTCTCCAGTTGGAGCAGGAGCAGGCAGGGACATGGAGGGGCAGGGGTCTGGCCAGACGCTGGCCCTGGAAGGGAGCAGGGAAGAAATTTGTTCTCCCACTCCCTCCCCTCTCCCACCAGCAGGACCTGCACTTCTCCATGCTGGCTGCTCCAGCGGTGGGGTATGGCCAGCCCCGGCAGTAGCCTTGGCTGAACTGGCCTGGAAGGGGTTTAATTCCCCCTTCCCTGTCCCACTGGCAGGGGCTCAAGCCAGATCTGCTGGATGCTCCCCCCTTGCTGCTGCAGTGGCAGGGCTGGGCATGGCCAGAGGCTGGCCAGCAGGCTCCCCCCCACTCCCTAAGGGGCCCTGCTGGCCGGCTTCTGGCTGTGCCCTTCCCCCCCTGCTGCAGCAGTGAAGGGGGGAGGGCTCTTGATGGGGGCAGCAGCCCCTGTCATGGGGTCAGGGAAATGAGCCCCTTCCTGGTGGGTGGGGGGGCACACTGCAGGGTGGGCAGAGCTGTGGCGGGCAGCATGCAGCAGCACAAGTGTGGGGAGGGGGTACAGCAAGACGCTGGGCAGCAGGGCCCCTTAGGTGGGGGCAGGGAGGGGGGTTATTCCCTCTCCCTCTGGCATCCAGTGGACGGGGCAGTAGGGGGTTTATTCCACTGCTTGCCCCAAGCAGGGAGCAAGTGGTGGTGGTGGCAGTTGGGGCGGGCAGACCCAGCTGCGCCCCTGACGGGGCGAAGAGGGGAATAACCGCCCTCCCCGCTCCCTCTGCCTCAGGGGCCATGCCGGCCGGTGACTTGCCATGTCCAGCCCTGCCACTGCAGCAGCAAGGGAAGAGCATCTGGCAGACCTGGCTTGGGTCCCTGCCAGTGGGACAGGGAGTGGGGCATTAAACCCCTTCCTGGCCAGTTCAGCCAAGGCTACTGCCCAGGTTGGCCACCCCCAGCTCCCAGCACAGCTTCCCTGCAGCTGAGGGCACGTTCTAGCGCCCCCCGGCTCCCGGTCTGAGCAACTGCCGGCATGTGCCTACACTTCCTCAGTCCAGAGGGAATGTCTGTGCAGTTACAAATTGGTTCAATCTAGGCAGGTTAGACTAATCGGCAAAGATTGAGTCAATTCAGGTTCCAGCTTTTTGAATGTCTGTTTCTATCCCTGGTGACGAATCAGTGCTGAGTTATCCGATGCAACTCACTGGCCCATCAGGTAGCTCTTAGTTGAGAAGCATGACTGGGAGCAGATATATAATGGAATTTATGCTTTGATTTTTACACGTCTTTGGGAAGGAGACATGTCTGCAGTCACCTTGAGAACACCCTTTCCTGTGACGATTTGACTGTTGTAGTCTTAGTTGCTCTTCTTAACTCAGCTATGATTGAGTGTAATTATTTTGAGAGAGACTAAGTGCTATATTTTGGAGTAGATGCACATATTACTAAAACACTGGAAGAGATGTATGGACTGGGTATTTATCCCTCTGTGGTTTAAAGACCATGTGGAGAGTTTCAGGAGGAAAAGATTGACATAGGGTTTCCTTACTTTTTTTTTTAACCTATTACCAAAAACAAACAAATACAAAATGAGTGAGCACTTACTTGGAACGTGTGCTTCACCAGTGAAGAAGGGGTACTTATGTCTCATTAATACAAATGGTGGTCTTAGAGGAGGGACAGATTTTGAATCCTGGAGACTTGGATTCCTTCATAATTGAACAGCTCTGGTATGGTGGAGGGAATTTTTTAGAGAACAGATGTTAAACTAAATTATTGGAACTATGCTAGACTAGTAATTCTGCTAATATACCCCCAGTAACTAAAAGAGAAGTAGAATTTAGCAGTGCTAAGAAAAGCAGATACTGCAGGGATTCACCCTGGCTCGCATGGGGAGCAAAAAGAATTGAGGTATGACATAAACACAGGTCCTACAGACACTGCTGTACAAAATAATTTGATTGTATGCAAAAAAGGTGTATGAGCACCAGACACAGAATATATGTGGACAGTCACATGAAGAACTTGTCCTTGTTGGCTTCCATCCCAACCTTTCCCTACCTAGTTTTCCTATCTGAAACTAGATTGGTTCTACAAAGCAGCAGAAGACTATATCTTTGATTTTTTTTTTTTTTTTTTATATGAAGCATTTAATATGTTTTTGGTTACAATAAGTATTAAATATTTTCCGAGTCTTTGTGGATAAATGACAGGGAAGAGTAATGCCCACACTGATTAATAAACTGTGAAAGAGTAGTTTAGGTGCTATTTGGATAGAGGCTTCTATATAAATGCAAGATCATTATTTGGTCCTAAATTAGAAACTCGTTAATTTTAGCAATAGCTTAGAGACCTTTTTCCTAAGTGATCATCTTATTTTCTTAAATGTGTTATCCTTGTCCTTTGCCGCTAGCCTTAAAACTATTTAGCTGAATTTGGAATTGTTTTTAATTAGCATAGTTGTGTGTAACCCAAGGTAATGTGATGGGGTGTTTAAAAATATATGCAGAAATAAATTAATAAAATTAACCTGTTGCTAGCTGATCCTCTGCTGACCACCATCTGTCTATTGATCATGTGATGTCTCCCAGCTGGGTGCCCAAGAGACAAACCATACAAGGATCATCATGACAACATATGGTGCTATTTACAATTTTTAGAAGAGTTCTTAGGCTGCGGTGCTAGCAATTTAAAAAAGAATGCCACAATGTTACTTGGATGTGAAGTTTTGTCTAAAGTAGCAAGCAAGTCAGCAGGAATGTTTCCCACAGAAAATTTTCAGGGGTGGGTCACTAGAAATAATTAGGTGGAGCAATTTTGGTTTTTTCCCCTTCACTTATTCTATAGTGCATTTTTGGTGCAATTTGTAATGAATTAAAATGGAGGAAAGACAGTGAGGTTACAAATTTTATTTAACATGCCTTTTAGGACCATTATGTGTTCTCACTCTCCAGGATGCAACCCAATCTGTGCGTTTTTTAACTGTTGTTAAGATCAAGGATGTGGTTATGAGAAGACTTACAATTTATAGGATACTTAAGCATTAAGGATTGAAGCACAGAACATTTCCTGGGGATTAACGACTGGCTGGGTGAGCCTCAAGCCATTAACCCCCGCCTGTCATTAATCTCCAGGAAATGCCCTGCAGTGAGGTCGTTATTGCTGCTATTACGCTGAGACTGAAAATAAGCAATGTGTTTTTCATGCAAGATGCAGCTTTATTTTGGGATGTAGGGAATTAACATCTTCTGTATTAGCTTATCACATTGCTTGAATGACTAAATCCTATGCATCTTGCTATGCTTAATGAAAGATATTATGAAGTTTTATGGGTGGAAGTAAGGGCAGAATTCAGCCTTTAATTTGGTGTACATTTTAATAAGATGAATCACTGATGTTTCACTGGCATAACTTTGAGCAGAATCTAGCCCTTTACCATGAAATGCTTACTTTACAGCAAAGCAATGTATTCGCAGTTCTAAGCATCTTGCAGCCTTTTTTTTTTTTAAATTCATTGAACAGTCCTTTTAGGTCTTCCATAAAGCAGGTGAAATGTCTCTGCTGCAGTCTTAAGGCAGAACGCAGGCTGCATAAAATAGCATAAATAGCATCTAAATTACTAGGAATACAAAATACACACACACAGTAATGCATACCTACAAAAGGCAAATTCATACTGACAGGACTGCAGTCTATGTTTATCAGCAGCAAAATATCTCAGGGAAAAAAAATGGCTTCAGATAAAAAAAATTAATATATAGATCTCACTTAAATGCTATTTGTTTGTGTGTATACCTGAAAACAGATGCCAGACACCTTTTAACGAGACGGTCTGCTTCTACATGTATTATATTGTAGATACAGATAGGTTTCATAAAGGTGTGTGAAGCTTTTTACAGAAAACCTTTGTAAAAAGCTTTTTTTTTTTTTGTGTACATGGCTTCAGTCTTTGCAACCTCCTAGAGAGTCTGTCAAGGCGCAACTTAAAAGCTCGTTCAGGCGACCATGACCCCCTGCTAGCAGATTGTCTGCCTAAAAGGTAAGGGAAAGCTAAAAAGAAGTAGAAACTTAAAAGTAGCTTCTCAAAGGCTGCATAGATCTTTTTTTGTTAAACCTAAAGTGTTTAAAAGCTTTAATATTGATGGCCTGTCAACTTTGTCCTGATTCTTTGGCTTTCAGTTAAAAGGTTTTTGTTGTTGTAGCTTATGCAGTTGCTCTGTTGCTATGGAAACGTGACATCAAAATGACGTTTCTCTGTTTAAAAGCTTTTAACTAAATTCCTGCCTGTCAGATGTAGGCCCCATTTTGTGCACTCAAGCTTCAAGCTGTTGCAAAAAGGTTTCATATGTTCTGTTGTCATTCAAATTCTTTATCCACATATGCATGTCTTGCACTACAAAAACCTAAACTAAAAACTCAATCTATATTAAGTGTCCTCTTTTAAAACCCTTTTAGGTCAGTCAGCAATGGCTGCAGCAGAAATTCCCAGTTACATTGTTTCTTCTCAGACTGAGAAACACAGAAGGGCCAGAAACTGGACTGATGCAGAAATGAGAGGTTTAATGCTGGTTTGGGAAGAATTTTTTGATGAACTGAAACAAACTAAAAGGAATGCCAAAGTTTATGAGAAAATGGCTAACAAACTCTTTGAAATGACTGGAGAAATTCGCCACGGAGAGGAAATAAAGATAAAAATTACAAATATGACATTCCAGTACAGGTAAGCTTCAGTTAATTCTTGTTATTTTTGAGAGATGTTAGCAGGAAAAGTGCAGCGAGATTTGCCTATCAGGAAGAATCTCCTAGAGGAAATCTATAGATAAAAGATTAACGATTGTTCCTATCGCTTTTAAAATGCTCTCCTGTCAGTTCTGTTACGTCATTGTTCATTTCTCTCCTCCCCCCCTCCCCCATTTATTTCCAAACTCTGGCACAACTTTGTCTTGTTTTGTTTTGTATAGGTAATGTGTGTTAGGAAATACAAGGATCAAAATGTATGTAGTGTTAAAACAGATGTTATTGCTTAGGGACTGATGATGTTAGCCTGGCAGCAGTTCCTTGCAGCTAAAGTACTGCAGTTTGAAGTGGCCAGTTAGAATCTGTGTTAGAAGGAAAAGTTCAAATACAGACTCATTTATTTAGGATTTAAGTTTCCAGTTTTTGGCATTGCAAGTTGAAAGGGTTACAGTCCACACGGCCAAAAATAATTGGATGCCTTATTACGGAGTGACACACATTGCTATAATTATAAGCAGCACACACGAAAGAACTATTATATCTGCAGAGACACAATCAATGTGCACTGTAAATACAGCTCCAAAGGCGTGGGGGAAGGGCAGAGGGATCTACGTGATGAAGAATAGGCAGTATCAGTCATGAGAAGAAGTTGGGGAGAAATTCCTACATTTCTTGTTTAGAGAAAAATTAGGATTTAGCCGAAATATATGCATGGCTCTTTTTTTAATCTTCTCTTTGTCAGACGCAAACTGCCTCATACTGGAAATCCTAAGTGGTGATTTTAGTTATGTGCTTGTAATGTAAGAAAATCAAATATGTGGCTCTTATTTAATCTCTCCTCAAAGCTGGTATTAATAATAATAATAATAATAATAATAATAATAATAATAATAATAAATGTTATTACAGCAGGCAACCATGTTAAAATTGCTTGCTTTTCTTTAGGGCACCCTTACCGTATTTAATGCAGATGTTACTCATCAAAAAGAAAACTAGGGAGAATCCTGTAAGCCCAATCTAACTTTGAATTTCCCTTTCCTCTTATTTGTCAGACCCACGAGCATAATGATTAAGATAAGGTTTTCATAATGCTTAAACTGGCATTTTATATTCAAAGCTTTATTTTTGCAAAGTGTTTTACAGCCTGGTACTAAATCCTCACAACACCCCTCACCCATTTTACAGATAGGGAAACTGGATTTGCCGTAAGTCACACAGCAAGTTACTTTTGGCTCCAGAACTGGAATGCAGGAATTCCTGCAAGCCAGGCCTTTGCAAAGTCCAATAAGTTACGAGCCCTCTGCTCCCAAATACATCCTGTTGTCCCTACGTTTTACAGGTGTCTAGCAGCACCACTTAAAATATTAAGCTCTGTAATTGCTATGTATGTAGTTTCTGGCAGCTTTTGTTCCAGATGGGTTGGTTTTTCCCCCTTTTGTTATCAGGTGGACCATCCCAAATTTTTCTAATTAAAGATCTCGTTTTAAAGCACTGGCAACGAGCAAATGAAAACATGCATGCACACACTAATAAGCAAAGTTATCCTTTCATTAACTTCCAGATGCGCTTTTCATGCATATTGATGTGCTTCCCAACACTGCAACATGCACTTAACTGTAATGCATTACACACACAAATTAAGATGCCATTTTAGAAGAGTCTGAAGACTGCCTTATGCTGCATGATATTGCTTTCAGTGTGTCCTTGAAGAAAAAATATACTTAAATATCTGATGGTTTTGTTATTTTTCAGCAGGGGCTTATGCTATATAGACATGTAAAGCAGCAAAATATATTACTCCCAATTTGTTTTAAGATTGATATGTGGAGTTAGAAAACACAGGGATGTATCTGTAAATGATGTTGGTTATCACTCTGCTGTCTGCTTTGCTTTTGGGCAGCTGATTTTTAATATTTATTATGCTGCCTGATGGATATTTGGAGAATATACCATGCCTCCCTACATTTCAATGTATCCTCAATGCACTGTGGCATGAACTGAAATGCAAGTTTCTGAAAGCATGGTCTATTTTAGGACAATATTTTGTAACAATTATATTCAGCTGTGAAAAATGACCCGCAGTATTTATTTAGAAAAACCAGCTGAGCTAAGTAGGTAATTTATTACTACTTTTCAGCATCCAATAACAAATTTTAGATTCTTTTTTATTTTGTGGGATACTTCCTTTGGTATTTCTAAAGTGCCTATTAATATAGCCACTAAGCTTAGTTGATACTGATAGAAAGGAAAATACTATTTTCCCTCCTTAACTTCAGCAGTTTTTTTCCTGATGAAAGTAGCTGCATGAATTATTTTGTTGATTCTACTGTCCAGGCAAGTTCAATGGTGAATGTGATGTCCCTGCCACCGCACTCCCTGGGATTCTCATGGTGCAAATATGAGTGATCTGTAACTTTAGGGGTGCAAAATGGAAAATGGGTAATACTGTGTTTAATGATTTTCTTTATAATCCATGCTTATAAATCATGCCTTTCAGTCTGAAGAATCGCATAGTGCTTCATGGCCTGATTTTGAAACATTACTAAACCTATTGCTTAGGTTGTTCAGTGAAAGCCTTACTCTTTGTGCAGTGTGGGGAGGAAAAATTAGTGACAAAAGCGTGGCATGTCTACACTGTGGTCATTGTAGAGACTGCAGCTCAGATGGACTTGATTGAGCTAGCATGAAACTAACAGGCCCGGATATCAGTACCAATGTCCCACTTGACTATTTGTGCAGTTTCTTGGGTGGGCTTTGTAGGTTGCATTGAGTTGTGTACTGCTACAGCGCTGGTTCTCAATCTTTTTAGACTCAAAGGGCCCCTCAGAAAATGTCAGCTTTCACTTGTTTCTTGACCAAGAAAAAATAATAAATCAAATTTTCTGCTACAAAGAATTAGGAAAGACCACAAGTTAGAATATTTTTTCACACTATGGCTTTTTATTTGAAATCTTTGGGCTTATTTTGTGAATTGTGTTGGTGTTTGCACGCTGAGCAGTACTAATATCAAACATCACCCTTAAAAGGATCTCATGGCACCCTGGTTGAGAGTTGCTGTGCTACAGTTAGACTATTAGCAGTACTGAAGCCAGCTGGTTAAGTTACTTTGTGTACGTGAACTGTAGTCACAGCAGTTCACCCCAATGCGTTCTAATATTTGGGGTAAAAATAATGCTAAAAAATACCATAATGCCATTATATAAATAAGTAAGTTCCCTTAAATCCTGTTTTTGTTACAAGTCACCCTATCTCCAGGGTTCAAAATATGGTGGTGAGGGTCTCAGGAGGGCTGAACCCCCCCAATAAGAGACGAGAGCCCCTGGCCCACCCCATGCCTTTCTAGGCAGCTTAGGTGGCAGTGACAGTAGCAGCGGCTCCTTCCGGTTGCCACCGCTGCGGACCCCCCTGCAAGCATCCAAGTGTAATTCAAACCCTGCCTATCTCAAAAAAGATACAGCATAAAGTGCGGAGTGTTTAGAGATGGAGGATGAGCGACACAAGAGGCATGGAAAACTTCTGCATAGGGAGATAGGGAGAGATTGAAAAGTTTAGGACTATTTAGTTAGGAAGAAGATAAAACGGCAGCATGCCAGAGGCATAAAAACATTTTAAAAATTCATTTTGGAGAATGTAAGCCAGGTGCTTCTTTTCCCATAATACAGGAATACTGATGCCATTAAAAAAATGTTAAAGCAAGAAATGTAAAACTAATTAAGGCAATACTTTTTTCACAGCGTATAGTTAATATGGCTCTCGTTCCCACTGGGTATCACTGAGATATACCTGCAAAATAGTTGCTAGTATTTACAAAAGATTAGACATTTGACAGGATGATGATTTGTCGATATTCAATATTTTTAAAATGATGTGTTTCAGGGCACCGCTGTCTGGAGCTAGAAATGAGTTACCGTTATGAACAAATTATTCCAAACTTGTTCACAAACAGGTCCCTTGCATCGTGTTCAGAAGTAATTGTTACTTGTGGCTCTGCAATAAATACGGATGCCACCAGTCTGATCTGGTGGACAATTTCTGTTTTCCGATGTGCTACCATGGATAATTCTAGTGATTCAGAGGGATCATTTCATGGTAATAAGAACCAAGCTTTGAAATAACTGTTAGCAGGATTGCAATGCATTTAGGAATTACTTCATGCACTCCTGGAATAGAGCTGTCTCAGGGGCTTGAGGGCCTGTACTGGGGGAAAACTTTTGGCAGGTCCACTTAGGCAACATTCAGCTTTCACAGAAAGTGCAACAGTATTTCATGTATCCATTCAAGACAGGCAGTTCCACCAGTTTTTAGCGCTCTTTTTGAAAGACACCTGTGTAGTAAATGGCGTGGACTCCCATTTATCTGTCTTGGAAAGATGAAGGGCTGAGACGGTCCTGCTGGGATTCAGAGTTAGTTTCAGATAGACTAGATTTCAAAGTACTGCATAGATTACTAAGCCATCTCCAGCAGTTTAGAATCAGCGCTGAAATCCTTCTGTTATATGGTCTATTTGAGACATTCACCACATATAACCCAGTAATTATTCCTTCCAAAAGAAAATGCGTTCCTGTCACCATTAATATACTGATCTTAATATGTGACAATGCAATGTGTATTGGCTGCTGTTAGATTCGTGCTCAAATAATATGCAGTCTTGTAAATATAATACAAGTTTTATAGAGCTTGCACATTATCCCACGTGATGGTTTTGACCAATTCCTTCTGCTGTTTTAAAAATAACTGAGTGAATATAAATTTTATTATTTGCAAAGCTGCCATCATCCCTCCGCATCCCCTTTCCCCCTCCCCCACCCAAAAGACTATGGAAGCAGGATGCAGCTGTTACTTTTTAATTCAAATTGCAGTCAATTAATGGTAATGATTGGTAAATTTGAATCAGATGCAAGATTTGAATAAAGATTAGTTTATATTTATTTATTTATTTTTACGTGTATATGATAACAATGAAACATGGCAGCTTGTATAATT